GGAAGGAAGGAAGGAAGGGAGGAGGGAGGGAGGGAGGGAAGGAGAGATGGGGAAGGAAGGAAGGAAGGAAGGAAGGAAGCAACCTGGAATTAAACCTTCCTAACAAGTCAGAACAATTAACCAGTGGAACTGCTTGCCACAAGAAGCTGTGGATGCTCTACCATGGGAAGTGTTTAAGAAGAGACTGGACAGCCCTTTGTCTGAAAGGGGATGGGGTCTCCTGCTTGAGGAGGGGGTTGGACTAGAAGACCTCCGAGGCCCTTCCAGCTCTGTTCTGATTGGTTGATTGATTGATTGACTGACTGACATACAGTTAATTAGTGATAGGGAGTTGATGGAGGAGAGACCACAGGGAGAACCCACAGGGCTGTAAACTAGACTAGGAAGAAAATGCATCCACCCCGAAATAAATTAGCTGCCTGGGTTTCCCCTCCCCTCCCCCATCCAAATGCTCAAATTAATTAATTTAATTAATCTCCTTAGAGCCAAGACGTTCATTTACCGGCCTCTTTATCCCGTTTCCAGGATGGTTGTAAGCCGTCCACAGTGGCTGGAAAGGAAGAGGGACGGCATATGGATTGAACGCATAAAATAACTTCCATCAATATTCTGATATAAAAGTTTCAAATCCGTTTCAAAACATTCCGTCCGTTTCATTCTGCACAGCCTGGCTGGGGAATTCTGGGAGTTGAAGTCTTCAAGTGGCCACGGTGGAGACACCCACCTCACAGTACAACTGAGGTGTCCAACCTTGGCCACTTGAAGACCAGTGGACTTCAACTCCCAGAATTCCCCCAGCCAGCATGAATTCTGGGAGTTGGTCCACAAGTCTTAAAGGGGCCAGCTTTGGAGACCCCCACCCACTGCCCTCGTGGGACAGATGGCTCTCTACTATGGCCTATCCTAGTTAGATGTTGTTCTGGCCCACCGGCAGCTGGTAGAGCTGGCAGCAGAGTCGGACAGTAGTGAGGAGGTTGGGGAGGAATTCGGGCCATTCCTGGAGGCTGAGGAAGGCTCGGATGAGGGCTCTGCATCGGAGGCAGAGATGGGGCCAGGGCAGGCCGGCAGCCATCAGCTGCCTTTGGGCTCAGACAGCAGTGAAGTGGGGGAGCTTCTGGAACCAGCTCCCAGCCTGCGCATGCCCAGGGCTAGCAGAAGACAAGAACAATTGAGAAAGTTTACTTGATTTGACTTTAGTATTTTTAGTATTTATTTGATTGGTCCATCGCTTACAAGATACAGGTATGAGAATCAATATAGTTTTGAATACATGAGATAAATACTTATAAGAAAAATATAAAAGAAACAATAGGAGTGGGACGGTAGGCCCCTACAGGCCTCTTAGGAAAGGGGTGAGGTCCATAGTAGACAGTCTAAGGCTAAAGTTTTTGGGGTTTGGGGAAGAAACCACAGAGTCAGGTAGAGGATTCCAGACATTGACCACTCTATTGCTGAAGTCGTATTTCCTGCAATCAAGTTTGGTGCGGTTAACCTTGAGTTTGTATCTATTGTTTGCTCTCGTGTTGTTATGGTTGAAGCTGAAGTATTCATTGACAAGTAGGACATTGCAATGCATGATTTTATATACCATACTTAGATCAGACCGAAGACGGCGTAGTTCTACGTTTTCTAGGTCTAGAATTTCGAGTCTGGTGGCATAAGGTATTCTACAACGAGTAGAGGAGTGGAGAACTCTTCTTGTGAAATATTTCTGGACTTTCTCAACTGTGAGAAAGTTTGTAGGCTTTACGCTTCTGAAAATATCACCAGATATCAGGACTTGAGAATCGAACTGCAGAGACTCTGGCATAAACTAGTGCAGGTGGTTGTTGTTGTTATTGTTGTTGTTGTTGTTGTTGTTGTTGTTGTTGTTATTATTATTATACACAACAAAACAGTGTACACAGCAAACGAGATAACTATGCTGGGCTTCATATCACAAATCACTAGTCGAACAATTCCCAAGTGTTTAGGACTGCGTGATGTATCGGCGGATTATGCAAGCAGATCCCAGTAAGGTGGCCTTCTGCATCTGACCAGATTATATTATTATTATTATTATTATTATTATTATTATTATTATTATTATTATTATTATTATTTGCCCCCCCATCTCCCCTACAAATTGACCCTGGGCTGCTTACAAGCTACCAAACAGGTAAAACGTAGTGAAAAGATGTAAACGACGCAGATTAAGATACTATTAACTTCAAACCGTCACTAAACGAACAGCCGTAAGTCGAGGACTAACCTGTATACCCATCCTCAATCATTATTAGCAGACCTGCTTTGCTTTTTGAAGAGAAAGGAGCCAGAACGATCCTCCTGCTCCGTTCCTCCAAGTTTGGG